CTAATTGATCACCCTCTGGTCGTATATGGTCTCCTATGCAGATGCCTCGATATTGCCTGATTATTGATTATATCGTTATCTGCTTGGTGTTAACTAGTAGTGGATATTGTCATTTTTCTCCTCTTCCATTGTGAAGTTGATTGCCGGATGAACACTATTGAACTTATCCAGATCAGCATTCTTATCAGTCCCACCTTTGAAAACTGTAAAGGCATCACCCATGTAACGACAGTATAACTCTAAACGGCTAATAGTTTCGTTCAGTGGACCATTCTTCAGTTTTGTCAGAAAAAAATCTGCTAAGAGCAGACCATGGGGTGACCCCGTAGCAACACCATCAGATTGCGGGTGGTGTTCGTTGTTGAAAAAGAACTATGCCTTCACCGTACACCTAAGAAGTAGTTCTTTCAATTTGGAGACTGGAATATTTATTTCCATGAGCTTGTTGCAAATAAAGTCTACTGTCTCCATTAAAGAAAAGTTAGTAAAAAGAAATGAAACATCACACGATATCATCAACTTATTATCTACTTTTAGATCCTCAATCTTTCCAACAAATTCAAAGGTACCCTTGAGACTGTACGTCACAACTGCTTTGTGGAGAGGCTTCAAGAGTTGTACTAACCATTTTGATATTGTATGATACGGAGAGTTTTTTATTTCGAGAACTGGTCGGTGAGGTAGACCATTTTTATGCAGTTTTGTTAGATCGTAAAGTCTAGGTGTAACGGTTTCAGTAAGTTTGAGCAGTTCAAAGGTGTTTTTTGAAATGAAACCCTGTTGTTTTATCTTTTTCAGTGATTCGGTTAGATGTTTCTCGGTATCACCATAAGCGGCTAATTTCTTTCATCACTAGGTAAAGAACTCATTTTGTCTGTGTACTCTTTTTTATCCATTAAAACTATTCCTGATCCTTTATCTAGCTTGGCAATCTCAATATTTGCATTAGTTTTGAGCTTTTTCAAAGCTTCTCTATGTTTTCTCGCTAGAATACTCTTCATACCGTTCCTACTACTCGTGTACTTTACGCAGGAGTCAATGAGTGTAATCTTCAGTCTATCAACGTCTTCACTAGATGATGGTACCAAACCTTCCATCTGGGTATACATGTTCTCCAACTGTATTCCACTTCTATCTTACTAATCGTATTTCGACTATCACAAAAGTTTGGTCCAAGTGACAAAACTTCTAGTTGTATAGCATCAAGATCGTAGCTACAAAAGTTATGCACAAACTGACCCGGGTTAGTCAGGAATCTCATCTCCGGTGTACAGTTTTCGAGAGTTTTGACCAGCTTAATGCGCTTCTTTTCCTTCCGTGCATTGACCAAATTCGCCACATAACTCAAAAATTCCTGCTTTAAATTTCCAAAAAGCCCTTCTACAGAATGAAATCTCTTTGTAACATTTTTCAACATTTCAGTAGAATAAGATCTTAGTGAGTCAATCTGATTCAGAGCATAACGTTTCAATGTTCTTGCATTGGGTCGAACCCTGGAGCGTCGTACAGATTTCCAATATTCCTTAGGATAATGATTCATTGAAATGCATTCGTCACCGAAATTTATAGTAATCTTCGCTTCACAGAGCTTCGGGCTGTACTTCAGATACTGAGAGAGAGACTTTAACGCAATTCGGTGCTCAAAAGATTACATTACATTGAGTGTTCTCATATAGACAAGTTTGTAACTAAGCATATATATACTATGAAGGTTAAGACAAGAACGCCAACAGTTCCTAAGAAGCAAATCTTCTTGAATTTAAGAGTGACCTTGCCAATGAGATCATCACACAACGCATAAAAAGAGTCTTGCATAAAGCATTCCCAGCCGCTAAATTATGTCCTATCTTCTACAACTGTCCGACTCTAGGTGCAAGAAATAAAAACAAACTGCCTGATTCTGCCACTTCTGTGTGCACTTATCAATTCAACTGCTCCTGCGGAGCTAGTTACGTTGAGCGTACAATGAGGCAGTTCCATCGTTGAATTTCTGGGCACCACCCATCATGGACAAATTAGAACAATAAAGAGCTCCATACTTGCCCACCTAGTTGACATGGGACATCAATTTGATACTAGAAAAGCTCTCAAAATCATCCATCAGATTCCAATTAATTTACCACATGGATTACGTACTCGGTTACTTCACATAGCAGAGGCGATCGCAATCCACCTTTACAAACCTAGCCTTTGTATACAAAAGAAGTTTGTTCGACCACTTTCACTACCGTAGCCGTCAACAGGATGTAACTTCTAGGTTTACTTTATACACCTCTCCCCCTTCTCGTTTCTATCACTACTCATTTTAAAATTAATTACTTCTTAGAATGTAATCTGGAGTAATGATATTTTTCTTATTTGGTTTATACTACTCATAAGTAGCTGTTTTTTACAGTGAAAATTATGAAGGATTGACGGTTAATGGGAAGACGAAGATTGTCGGTATCGTGTTGTGTGTTAGCACAATACGTTTCTAACAATCTGAACTAAAATTAACTTTTCTAATAGTTTATATAGAGCTTCGAAAGGCCAACTGAGCCAATGGAATTATAATTAAGAAAGATAACGAGTGCAGAATGGAAACAAGAGATGAAAAACTAATAATAAAAGGTCAGCTCACCATCTCCAATAGTATAAATAATTGAACTTAATACTAGTAGGGTAGGTTTAGTGTAGGAACAGACTGTTTCTGAATACCTAGAAGGAATTTGAATTCATGGATAGGGAGTACTTCAAGAAAAATCTAAGCATTATTTCTAAACGGAACAGTTAAATCTGTTTTCATATCTTCATGTCCAAAAACCAGTTATCATTTCGACTGGCCGTGGTTTGAGAGACTTGTATTGATACTAGGTGATGACTGAAAGTGAAATGAAATGACCGGAAATACAGTGGTTGTTTTGAAAGCGACAATCGCCCTATTAACAGATTTTATCAGAATAAATAGCCAAATGACAATTAGAAACTTGCACCGGTGTTTAAATCCCTAGATTTAACTTCCCAAGAAATTTGTAGGTTGGCTTCGAATCTTGTTTATTTTCTTGAAACAACATTCGTACGTATAATAAGCAATGATCAACCGCCTGATTTATCTGTAACCAATTATTTTGTGGACCTCCTTGCGACCACATTACATCTTATACATTATGCAGTAACCTATCGACCTCTTCCATCCACAGTTGATCTCCAGATTATGATTCTTTAATCAGATGATTATGCTTTTCGGTTTGTGAGAATATTTGTGAGAAATCGAATAAGAATGAAATTCACTTCTAAAAATATGATAGTTCAGTGGGTTGTTGATGATCATCGAGACTGTCTATTGTCTGTGCAACTACATTTTAGGACTGTTAACTAGCCATTTGAAAGAGCTTTTGTTGAGGTGCGCACCCAATGTTCAATTTAGCTTGAATAATATACTCTATAGACAGAAAGATGAAATTGAGATGGGGTCACCACTTAGATCATTGTTAACAGATTTCTGTATATCGAAACTAGAAAAAACTCAATTTAGTCGTACGATTATTCACTCTGACTTTCATAGTTGTCTGGGCGATATGTTTGTTATCTGTGATGAATGTATTGATATATATAGTATTCTTCGTTCGTTTAGTAGCCGTCATTCAGCCCTGAAATTCATCTTGGAAAAGAAAGCAGAATCAAATATTCCTTTCCTTGATGTGTTTTTCACTAGGCGTAACAGTGGATTCCTTAAAAGATTAGTCTACAGAGAAGCAACATAGAACGGACAACTAACTAACTTATAAAGTTGGATGCCTGTCAGTTAGAAAAGAAACCTTAAACACCCTTTGCTATTGAGCTATAAATGCCTATAATGAAGAGCGCATTGATGCAGAGTTACTGTTTTTAAAATGAACGTTCAGGGAAAACAGTTACTATTATCATTTCATTGATAAAAAGTAATATCAAACCGATCACCAACTCGGTTTCAAAAAAAGCAGTGATCATGAACCTAGAATGTAAAAGTGGTCAAACATCAGATGCACTCAAGAATCTTCGATTTAAATGAACCAATAGAACGTTATTCATAACAAAACTTCAGTTGACTTTTATCAACCGTAAACTGTTTTCCATTTGCCACCTGCATGTGCATCTGCTCATGTGGAGCAAGATGCATCGGACAAAGTCAGAGAATACTTTTCACACTTATACGGTAGCATGTCCCAGCTTGGTCTTATAAAGGCAAAAGAAAGTCTGTCAGAAGTTCTATTCCAGAAAATTTGATTAATATCCATCACTCAACAAGCCCAGACAATGACAAAATTTTCTACTGAATTAACTCAAATCACCCACGTTTTCTTCGTTTTCGAATCTTTTAACCAGCGTAGGCCGCAGCGATTCATGAACTAAAGCCTGATCATTGTGTACGTAAGGAGTGTGTACAGTCCCTGTTCTTACCATGACTACAACGTTTCCGCACCCTTACTAGTTTTCCTTTTTTCCTTAATTAGTCTTTGCACTCTCCCATTATCATTATTACTGCTACAATAAATTACCTTGACTTTGTGTAGTTTCCGGTGTTATTTCACTTAATTATCTTCAGTTTTTCAGAAAACCATTGGATTTATTTCAAATGATTTGCTTGATCCTATTACGTAATACTTATTGGTTTATCTTTTTCTTCAACTTTATACCCCTTTTATAAATCATAACTACAAGTACCATTATGATTCCACTATTATTATCATAAATTGTTTAGTTGGCCTCATGGGGTGTAGTTTTTCAGATATCATGTACACAAAAATGCACAGCTTGAAAATAAACACGTTAGAAAGTGTCTCTTCGCTGAATATCTTGTTTTGATCACGTTTAAGATACACATTACTCCAATTATCACTGTTATGTACACAGATAACTAGGTTAATACTGTATATCAATCCATAAATCTACACTATTAATGTTCAACACATATACCTATAAATGATGTTAAATTATGCTGTGAATGCACAAGAAAAACTGAATGCACATGACTAACTCACTTCAGAGTCAATCATTGGTCCAGAATTAATTGTAATACTTGCAAGTTCAACTTCTTCACGCATTTTGGATGACATATGAAGGGATTGTAGTCGGTTGTAGATTTGTTTAGTGAGTTTGTATGCACCCAATGAACGACCGTGTTTAGCTAAAGTATACAGGACTGCGCTAAAATGATGAATATAATTAAGCTACGAGTTAAGGCAATATTTTAAGTGTGAAGAATGACACAATGAATAGAAATCTGGGTATAATATTGGATCAAATATCAAACGGTGATCGCCACAAATAAGTACAAACAGTAATAAAAATATAAAGTCGTACAGCGCTGATTCCTAATATAAGTGGAAAAATACATACTAAGGAACTTTGATGGGATAACTAAAAATTCCGAGCGATACACTTCAAATGCGGTTTTCATTCTTGGTCACTATAAAACCTAAAAATAATTTCTTTTCCTTGTCATACTTCCTTTTATTGTGTTTTACAGACTGTGCTATGGTTAAATTACAACTGTAAGTGATGTAATACATTATCAAGTTTTTGTTGTCTCATTGAATGGTTCCTGGGGTTCACCTTTAAGAAACTCATTTGTATTTAATCATCTGGACAAGGATGCCTAGATTTAGCCTTTATTTCTTCTGGTTAGACATTTGAAATATATTATGGACATTCTTTCATAGAGAATGGCGTATTATACTAAGAATATTTGCTATCAGTATTGTTTGTTATTAGAGTACTCATCTAACCATTACTGTAGTCATTTAGTATTTATAAACGTCTTTGTGACAGCTACATTAGTTTATTAAGAAATATCCCCAGTCGGCCTTCTCAATGTATGCCCAATCCATCTCCACTTTCTTCTGCATATTTATTGGGTGGTAGGTTCTTGTTTGGTCCGTTGCCAATCAGCCGAAGTTCCTTGTTGCTTATTCTTTCTGGCCATTTGATCTTCAGTATCGAGCGTAGGCACCCAGCCTTAGTCTAAATTGAAGGGATACACAAAGTGATCTATTTTCCGCATTATTACAGCCTAACTAAAAGAAAACTAATATATTGTCATGGTGGATATATATATATATATATATATATATATATATATAAAACTTTAAACATCACGCTTGATGGCCACTTGGTTCCTCGAAACCAGAAAGGAAGCAGTAAGACCGATACAAGTTTATTATTCAGTCAGATTTATACAAAAATTAAGGGTTTTTATACACTTGCTGATGGTCTTGGAAAGTTCTTCACCTTCCTGAAGAGTCCTTTAGCAAATCTGAGTCTCACATGTATGATCATATGGTTTTTTGCGAACGTCCAAAATGCTATGATCGTCTGTGAAGGCTTTTCAATGATTTTTAGGCTCTTTTGAGGAATCTAGAGAATATTTTTCCACTCCCTAGCAAAAACAAATCGTACATACGTTAAAAGCACTTTATCTCCTTTTTGGAATAGCCAGGAGGTTATGACACTTCAATGTCAGCTTATGTCATCAGTTCAATGAATTCTAGGTTCCAGTGAAATTAGAATACTTAGGAACCAACCAATTTTATTTTATTTTTGCAAACTATGAGATTTTATCGTTGTTGCAAATTTTTTAATCATTATACCACATTACATCGTAATTTGCTGAAAATAATCTACCAGATATTAGAAAAAATCCACTTTCTGGGCGTTTTAATGATTTTGCTCAGCAAATTCAAAGACTGTGCGGGAAAGTATATTTCACTTGTCTAGCCGATGTGAATCGACACTTCTGTAATGCACCTTCATTGAAATAATTCTTTATTATTATTATTATATTATTAGTCCCTTGGGTTCCTAGTGGAACATAGGGCTTCGGTAGCACGCCTCCAGTGACCTCTGTTCTCTGAGATCTTTCGAACCTGGTCCCACGACAGCCCACAACCTCTCATTTCCTCCTCGCATGACCTCCTCCATGTCACCCTTGGACGTCCAACTCGTCGCTTCCCATGGGGATTCCACTCCAGGGCCTGGCCTGACGCGTGATGTCCCCAGTCGGCCTTCTCAGTGCATGGCCAATCCATCTCCACTTCCTCCTGCATATTTGTTGCGTGATAGGTTCTTGGTTGGTTCGTTCCCAGAGTTCCTTGTTGCTTATTTTTTCTGGCCATCTGATCTTCAGCAGCGAGCGTAAGCAGTTGTTGATGAATGTCTGCAGTTTACTGGAAATGCCTTTCGTGATGCGCCAAGTCTCTGAACCATACAGAAGCACTGACTTGACGTTGGTGTTGAATATCCGTATCTTGTTACGCATGCTGAGTGCAGAAGATCTCCACACTGGTTTCAGGCTAATGAACACCTGTCTTGCTTTTCCGATTCTGACTTTGACGTCCTCGTCCGTCCCGCCTGTAGTTGAAATAGTGCTTCCTAGATAAGTGAAGGAGGTTACTTCCTTCAAGTTTCTCCCGTTGACGGTGATTGGAGTTTGTTGTTGTTGTTGTTGATGGTGGTGGTGCGATATCTTCATCACTTCTGTCTTCTCTACATTCACTTGAAGTCCCATCTTCGCTGCCCCGCCTCTTCAGTCAACTTGTTAGTTTTTGCCTGCAGATCTTCAAGTTTGTGTGACATTAGGCATAAGTCATCGGCGAAATCCAAGTCTTCTAGGTTCTTTTCCGTCGTCCAGTGTATCCCCCTCTTCTCGCTGCCTACTGTTTGCTGCTTGATCCAGTCCACCACAATAAGGAATATCATGGGGGATAGTAGGCAACCTTGTTTCACTCCTGTCTTCACTTCAAAAGCATCACTGAGCTTCCCATTGTGAATTACTTGGCTGGCAAGTGGCATCTTCATATAGTTGTTGAATGAGGCGGATAAAGGTTTGCGGTACTCCATAGTAATGAAGCAGTTTCCAAATTACTTCTCGGTCGACGCTGTCAAAGGCCTTCTCAAAGTCGATGAAGTTGAGGCAGAGAGCTGATTGCCATTCTATGCTCTGTTCTATGATGATGCGAAGCGTTGCAATTTGGTCTGCACATGATTTGTACTTCCTGAAGCCTGCCTGTTCCGGTCGCAGTTTTGAATCCAGTGCATCTTTAAGCCTCTCCAGGATGATGCGGCTTAATATTTTACTTGGGGTGGACAGGAGAGTGATTCCGCGCCAGTTCTTGCAAACACTGAGGTCTCCTTTCTTCGGCAGTTTGACAAGGTAACCCTTCTTTCAATCACTAGCCAGGTACCTTCTCTTCCTTTCACACCTTCTGCAATAGTGGTGTGAGCATGTCGGCTGTTGTCTCTGCATCTGTTCTCAGTGCTTCCGGCGGTATCCCATCTGGTCCTGCTGCTTTCCCACATTTCAGTAGCTTTATGGCGTTCAGGACTTCCATTTTCGTTGGAGGATTTATGTTCGCTTGTAGTTCTGTGGCTGGACTGCAGGTGGTATTTCTGGACGAAGTGCAGGTGGTGGTCGATTCAAGAGCTTCTTGAAGTGGTCGGCCCATCGTTTCCTCTGTTTCTCTTCTTTTGTAATTAAATTTCCTTCTTCATCTTTTATTGGGTTCATTTGTGTTGGTCTCTTCCCTGATAGCAACCTGGTTATTTGATACAATGTCGTCAGGTCTGTCTTACCTGCAGCCTGTTCTGCTTCACTTGCCAGTGTTTCGTAGAAGTGTCTTTTGTCTTTGCGTGCACTCTTCTTCACTCCTCTGTCCAGTGTTTTATACATTGTGCTCAGTTCCTCTTGTCGTTGAGCATCCTTGCACTGGTTTATCTTCTGCTTCACCATCCTCCTCTCCTCTATCAGCTTCCAGGTATCCTTCGAGATCCATTCCTTGTCTTCTTTCTTCTTCCTTCCTAATACGGCTGTGCAGGTTTCTTTCCACATAGCTTTCAAAGACTTCCAGTGTTCTTCCACACAGGTTTCTTCAGGGATGTCCCTCGATGTCTCCCATTTTGTCTTGATGGCTGCCTTAAAGATCTCCTTTGTAGTTTCATCCTTCAGTTTCCGAGTGTTGTACTTGAACTGTGGTCTATCACCAGCTTCCTTGAAGGCTTTTAACTTGATTCGGAAGGTTCCTTGCACTAGATGGTGAGTGGTCTGAACCTACATCTGCTCCTCTTCTTGACCTTGTGTTAAGTAGACTGCGTCTCCATTTTCTCGAGATTGAGATAAAGTCGATTTGATTTTTAGTGTGTCCTGGTGTCTGGTGAAGTCCATGTCGCTTTGTGGATATCCTTGTGCCTGAACACACTGCCTCCAATCACCAAATCGTTGAATGCACAGAATTCTGCAAACAATTCTCCATTCTCATTCATTTCACCTAGCGCCTCTCGACCCATGGTTAGTTCTCTTCCTGTGTTGTCCCCTCCCAGTTTGGCATTCATGTCGCCCATCAGAATTTTGATATCGCCAACTTGAGTGGTGTCTTGTCAAGTGTTGATTGAAGTTGTCTGTAGAAATCCTCCTTCTTCTCTTGCTCTGCATTATTTGTAGGTGCATAACATTGTATGATTGTGACCTTCCTTCCTCTTGAGTTGAATCTTGCTGTCATGATCCTGGAGGAGGAGATTGGTTCCCACTGCATGAGAGCCTTCGATGCTCTTGAGGACATCATGATAGCCACTCCATAACTCAGTGTACTCGTGGTTGGCGTCTGGGTGACAATATTGGAGTAGATTATTGATTCTCCAGTTGACAGTTTGGAGAGTCCACTCCCATTCCATCTGCTTTCGCAAATCCCAAGCACTTCGATGTGATACCTTCTCATCTCCTTTGCAATCTGGGCTGCCTTACTGGGTTCAAACATGGTGCGAACATTCCATGTCCCCACGTTTACTTTCGCTTTCATCGAGAGGGAGAAGACACATCGGCCAATTGGCTTCCGGAAGGCTTTCACCAACTGGCGTCATTTCGCCTCTCCGATTCCAGCGGGGAATAAGTTTGTTTTCATTTTTTATATTTTGTTTGTGCTTTGAAGTTTCTTTAGCGGTTAGATTTGTTTTACGGGGTAGGGTTGCTAGCCCTATGCCCAACCTTCCCTCTTTACCCGGGCTTAGGACCGGCTAGTAACTAGTAAACTAGTTAACCAGGCGAGGTTGAAATAATTCTTACTCGGCATCAAATCTGATAATGCTAAGCAAACGCCGCAAGAAACATCACAAGCAATGACACATTTAGTATTCTTCAGATACGTTACTAAGAGATAAAATAAAATAAATTGAGTTATAATACCTTACTACTCTATATGCAGTGTATAAAAATAAGAATGAATCTTTAAAAGGATACGCCTTGGAAACTTCAGGTACTTCACCAAATTGTAGTATATGTGTCAAATAACGTGCCATATTGAAGTATGTTTCAGGCATATGTGAAGCAAATGGCTCATGCTAGAAGCAAATAAAAAATTGGAGGAAGTGTGAAGTCAAAAGTTAAAACAAAAAAAATGAAACAGTTTATTTTTGCTTGACTGCATCACCTCGCTAAAACGATATGTATACACTGTTATATGTTGGGACAAGTGCAGTGTCTTTTTACCGAGAGCAGAATAATATAACCTATATTGACCTTAGTATCTAAGATCCCAGCACCAGGAAAATGGTGCAGATTGACAAATATACGATTGTTAGCAGCTTGCATAGGGAGTGGTGTATTGAAAAGGTGGCTGATATACATAACACTATTTAACTATGTTAAGATGTTATTTAGACTGCAATCATAATTCCTGAAGGCATTATTTGTAAGATTAGCAAACCAGTATATACATTGGAAAGTAATAATAAAATATCTTGATTACTTTCAATGTAATTCACCAAGTATGACTAGATGTGTATGACATATGACTCGCGGATATGATTTACCTAAGTGCATTTAAGGTGCTTTTACAGATAAGATAAATCCTTTCTTTTTTAAAAGAATCTCAGAAGCGTGTTTGTAAACTAGCAGCTTTTTTTTCGCTTTCACCTATAAATTACATAGTGGATAAGATTATCATTATTATTATTAGTTCTTTGGGTTCCTAGTGGAAAATACGGAGTCAGCAGCACGCCTCCATTTCACTCTCTTCTCTGCAGCTTGTTTAACCTGGCTGCACGACTGCACACAACCTTTCATTTCTTCCTCACATGACCTCCATGTCACCCTCGGACGCCCAACTCGTCGTTCTCCCTTTGAATTCAACTCGAGAGTCTGGTCTGGAGCGTGATGTTCTCAGTCGGCCTTCTCAGTGTATGCCCAATCCATCTACACTTCCTTCTGCATATTTGTTGAGCGATAGCTTCTTGGTTAGCTCGTTCCCAGAACTCCTTGTTGCTTATTCTTTCTGCACATCTGGTCTTCAGTATCGAGCGAGCGTAGGCAGCTGTTGATGTGATGTGTGTCTGCAGTTTGTTGGGAATGTTTTTCGTAGCGCGCCAAGTCTCTGAACCATATAGAAGCACTGACATGACTGACGTTACTGTTAAAAATCTGGATCTTGTTCTTTATACTGAAAGTAGTACTATGCAGTGCAGTGGGTCTCCACACTGATTTCGGACTGAAGAAGGTCTGTCTTGCTTTTCCGATCATGGCTTTGACATCTTCATCTGTGATGCCGCTGCTGCTGCCACCGCCTGTAGTTGACAGACGCTGCCTGCCCACGTAGGTAAATGAAAAAGACATCTTCCTTCGGATTTCTCCAGTTGATGGTGAGTGATGCTTGTTCTTGTTGTTGGTTGGGTATCTTCATTACCTCTGTCTTCTCTGAGTTCCCCTGGGGGAAGTCCCCTATTCGCTGCCCTTACTCGCCTCTTCTGCCAACTTGTTAGTTTTTGTCTGTGGATCTTCGAGCTTGTGCGACATTAAACATAAATCATCATCAGTGAAATCCAAATCTTCTATTGTCTTTTCATCGGTTCAGCCAGCGAATGCCCATCTTCTCGCTCCTCACAGTTTGTTGCATGACCCAGTTCAGTCCAGTTGACCACAATCAGGAAGATAATGGTTGATAGTAGACAACATTGTCTTACTCCTGTCTTCACTTCAAAGGCACTACTGAGCTGTGGATAAGATAGATGATCACAACGATGACAAATAAAGTATTCATAAAACAGAAATGAACAGGGATAAACATAAGATGTATGTCAGTGCTGTTCAGACATTGGGACATTCATACTTGTTTGGTTGCAACGGTTTACCTTCCGTTGATCCACCATAGTTTTGCTACGGTAGTTCATGTTCGTTAACTCACTCTAGACATGGGAGCGATACGTTCAGAAGCATAACGCTAAATTATAGGATATTATTTTACAAACTTTTGATGAACGCTGAGGGGTCTATATTGTTGACATTTTGAGCTGTTAATGAAGGAACTGTACAACTAAACATTTCCTTCCTGATTCAAGAGCTACCTTCTGGTGTTCTTCTGGATCAGGTCGTTCATTATTGGTATTCTGAAGCTCCTTAGTCGCTGTAACCATAGAAGAGCACCACAGCCACATTGGTAATATATTAAAACTTTGGAAACGTGACGAAGTTTCAAGTGGAAATATTGATTACTAAGACAGTAAAAGTATGGTTGAATTCATCGCTGCTCTGATCGGAAACTATTCTCATTTAAATCAAACCCAGTGAGTAAACAAATGAGTTTATTGAAAATAGAGCAGCTTTGAATTGCGGTTACAACAAGACACAATTGCAATCGTAATAAGAAATTATTCAGTAATGGAAAAATAACATGAAGAATAATAACTACTACGTAACTAAGTCATTATTTACAAGTTATTCAAACATGAATTGAATAATAATGACGTTAATGCGACGAAGCTATATTTCTCTGATGGTGTTGATTACTGGTCTCAACAAACATCTCTTGAATATGAAGCCACAGTTTCATGAACTTGATTACTACTGTTTCCGTCGTCAGATACTATGAGGTATTCGATCTGTAACATGATGCATAAAAGAGAAACTTGCACTAACCAGCTGTGACTCCCTGTAGCTTGTAGTTATTTTAATCCGCTTGAGGTGAAACTTGAAGATTCACGTGTACGTTTAATAAATTAGCTTATTCCTTAAACCGCATTTCAGTAAACTTCTAGGTTATCATAATTAATACGTAATGAAAGTTGCTAGAACATCTGCTCTTAGCATCCTTAAATTATTAGAACTGATTTTATGTACTACACTTTCATATATATATATTTAATATTTTTCATTGTGTTAGGAATTTAGTTTCTACGTGTTAATTACGGCACATGAAGAATAACCAACAGAGAAATTACTAGGCAATAATCACAGACACATACTTTTATAAATTATCGTCATAAAAAATCTATGCTTTTGTTGGAAGTACCATCGGAATTTGATCAAATAGTACCGCAAACCCTATAGACCGAATTGAAATTAGACATCCAATGTAGGTTATACTAGCATACTTTTCAGTGTGCTTCAAATGAAATCATTCCAACACTTTGTGTAGTGCCCTGGTCTGAGCTTTTTCAGATAGACTGTTAAAATTATAAAGCTGGTCATTGTTTTTAAACTATGAGTGTTAATCATTCTAATTGACTCTCAAGGTCACTTTAGCGACTAGTGAAATAGCCAATCAGAAGTCGTTATTTCATGTGAATACCTTTTATGGAACTAAAATATAGAAAGATCTAATCGGTTATTTCAATGGTCAGCGTGGTCCTTTGTATTATATACATCACATTGTTGAAAGTGCTATATACCCCTAATTTTGTATAAGTTTTGTCTGATGTTTGCCTAAAACCTTGAAATAACTTATCAATGCTGTTTTAACACCATTACTAGTTTTTGTTTTCCTACTGCTCTGAAGGTTGAACTCTCATTGGTGGTTAACTCTTATCAGGGAATTCGGTGTTTGTCATGGTCGTTTAGAAATATATACATTGAGCATTGATCTCAACTGCTGTGACTGTTGTTAAGACTGTAAAAGCTCTTTATTAACGGCCCGTCTTCTCTTCTTATCTTCGCCTGTCGATGGTATCGTCATTGTGGTTGACATTCTGATTAGAGTTTGGAGTCGATCTGTTTCCGCGTTTGGTTTGCATTGCTCATAGACTGTTAGGTCACGCTATCAGTCATAGCAGAAAGTGAGACGTAAAGGCGACAAATGACATTACAATAACTAAGAAATCACATGTGCATGTATAGTATGACATGAGATGGATATGTGTACTATTTGCATCAGTGTGCAAGAATGAACTGATATTAGCGAGTTTCAAGTGTATCATTCGTTAGCATAAAATTGCGATAAATAACAATAATAATGGTGATTATTTGAGTGTTAAGCCGCAAATCAATCCAACTTCTGGCATGATGGTAATCAAGATGAAAGTGGTAATGAAAATAACTGCAAAGCTATCCTTCCCACCCAATAAATGATAGATTCCGAAATACGGCTTTCTGTACTTCGTATTTACAATCTACCACAATGCTTAAGTCCTACACTTCTATTAATTTTGACTAGCTTCCTAGCACCTGTTAAGGTTGTAAGGATCTGCTATAAAAGTCGTCTGTGCTCTATCTCATGTAAATTTACCCCTCTACCGCGATTTATTCAGTGTAATTTATTCTATAATCAAAGTCCTGTTGATCTTTCTTCCCCATGAACTATATCAAAACTATAGTTTTATTTACAGATATTTAAAATTCGAAGAAGATGAATTGAGAATATAACTTTGAAAGATCTCTGAATGCATACATCTTTTTCATTAAAGAATAATAAAATATGTTAGTATTGCACAGGCATAAATTAAAACACGTAGTGATGTTAGCAAACATACACAGTCCCTATCGAGAACTGAGGTATCTCATCGCTTTTAAAAGTGATGCAAACTAGCGAATCTTACTTGAGTTTCCTGTAAATCTAACAAAATATCACCAAACATCAATCATACAAGGTTGACATAACTCTAAATTTCGATGAAGTAATCAGATGTTTTTACTCAATTAAGTATCATGCATACTTTACCAGCATCATCATTTGATATGTACTAGATGCACCGAAGAAATTCTGCAATTTTCTCTCCTGTTATTTACGAAACTGTGATTTTGCCAACATTTTTGCTTCATGTAACTAAAACGTTTGTATAAGTCTACCTAAAAATCCACGAATAATAATCAAAGAATCCATAAAAAATCAAATACGTGATACACTATCAGAAAACATGTTGATCAATGTAACTGCATGTCTTCATCAAGTGTATGAACATAGCTAATCCATGATGGTTGTAAGTGTTGTCATTCTTCGAAATCTGATAAACAATGAATATTTACTTCGATAATGACCATTATCTTTCCTTCTACAATTTCTGTCGTTTGCAGAATATACAGCCTATGTAATATTAATCATTGTTAACCTAGAAACCATAATTCATCAATGTAACCTGACCAAACAATGAACAGTTATATAGTCCCATGTCTTTCTTACTCCATAAGATTTTGATTCATTTTCTTTCAGAGTGAAATATATTCACTCAAGTAAATATTTTGCTCTACATTAAGTTGTTTCACAATTTTTTAACAGTTTCATTTCTTAACGTAAATTGTTTTTGCCTGTCGGTAAAGAACCGAAGGCTTCTTGAAGCTAGTTGAAGACTAATGAATTAACTCTTTGACAACCTTCCTCTTTTATTGTTTCATATATAATACACACATGATTTGAACTAGTCTTCTTGGTTGTAAGAATATTAGATGGTATGAGATTTAACACCGACATGGGACCTGGGATTATTGCACAATCGGTGAAGTTACCCTAACTCATGTCAGCTAGCCAGAAGAAAATGCATTAAGATGAAAGATAAATAAGAAAGGGGTCAAAAGTTGCTGCAATACTAAAGTTTAACAGAATGATTAGGATGCAGATAATGTATGGATACATCTGAATCATTGCTATTGATTCTGACTCATAATCTAGAGTCTGCAACGACTGTCATTCAGACACGGGTCTAAGCTCCTCTATATCGATTAGACCAATAGCCAGAAGCTTAACCTGGCCACCTCTAACCCTTTTCACCCCAAACCCACTTCAGATAAAGTTGTCCAGTGGGGGAGATGATAAATCTCTTAAATCAGTCATACCCATAAGTCTATTATTCTTCAACTGAAAATTCCTGTTGATATAATCCTAGAAGTTAATATAAATTCAGAAACGTGCCATTGTCTAGAAAGTACAAAGTAATACTTACCAGAAAACGATATATATTGTTATAAACATAGTAGACATCAGCTTTCCTTTGAAAATTATAATATTTATCCAATAAATCATGATACTTTTTTGTAGCTATAGTATATAAGCAGAAAAAAAATAAATAGCCTCCGGTTATCGAAATGCTCAGGATTTCCATTAAATTTAAGAGTAATTATGACAACACATCGTTTTATAAAGTGTCATTGCGAAATCGCAGGAGTTAAATCTTCTATTTTGAAACCCTCGATAGAACATTATTAACCATGATGAATTACAGTTGTTCGATATCCTCAAGCAAATTTGCAGTTACTTATGGTCAAACATGTCGACCTCTATATATTAATAATATTTAGGAAGCCATAGAATAGATAATGCTGTTTAATTTCAGAACTACAAAGTTTTGAAGCTAACGTCAATGGTTTGAAACCTATCACACTTGTTATATGAAAATATCATTCAAGAATTTTGGTAAGGAATATCTTCAAACATATATTGTTCAATGTTAACCAAAGAATTTGCTGAAGAACAAAAACAAGGATCATAAAACTATCCAGAAATCTAATGTTACAGAGAAATCAAAAAATTCCCACTTTTCTTTTTTACTGGATATTATTATTGTTTGAAGTATTAAGTGCTCTTCCTGAATTTCATCTTCTAACACTCAATAAAATGTGCTAACAGTTTACTTAGGTGATGTTTCAAAAATTCCATTGCTCTAAGCTTATTCTCTAAGTGTTCCGTCATAGGGTAGACTAAAAACAGGGTTTGTTTTATAGTGAATAAGAAACAAACCTACACAGCCACTTATGATACAAAGAATAACTTCCTTAACTCTGTGGGTTTGCTGACTGATACAAAACGTCTACTTAATATTCTTTTCAGTTCAGCAATTTCTTCAACCATTTTGGTTTATATTCAATTATGGAATAAATATCGTCCCAACCAACCGTAACTTATGGCACACCTAAATATAAATGGAAACGCACAAGTAGCGAAATACGTTTGTTCGACAGGAATAATTTTCGAGTAAAAAATATATTTTGTCCTTCTAAGGAAAAAAGCTGAGTGGCTTGCCTTAAATGTCCTACAAAGGACTCAAAAGACTGACTTTCATGATAATAAGATACTACTAAATCTGTTCAATTTATTATCATATCCCTTTTTTATCATGGCTTTCTGAAACTTGTATGAATGACTGAATGAACTTTAAAAAATTGGAACATTATCAGACAATAAGGTGAGGTTGGAGGAACGGGTATGAAAGAGCATCCAAGCTTTGAAAGGTAAACTGCCTACCGTTCATCTAATTGAAAGAAATCAGCTAGGCAACTATTTTTAAGGCGTAAAAACACTTCAGTGTACTGTTTGTTGGTAGTGTGGTAATACAGGACATTGTCATAATTTTTTTATCCTGACATGTTTAGTACTCTTATTTAAGCCTAGTGTTAAAACTAAGGAGAACTTCTCATCTAGATGAGTGTTTAAAATAAAAAGCAACTAAGAATGTTTACTTGTTTCACTTCTCAACATATCCAAGCATAAAGCAGATAATTTCCAGTAATAAAAGCCAGCGTCATCGAAACGTGATTCTTTAGCAGCACAAGTAGCTAATTGTTCCAGTACAGAAATAGCTTCATTCTGTAAACCAGCCTTAGTAAATGCTATTTTGTTACAAGATAAGAGATAAGAACAACAAAAGATGAAGATAAGTGAGAAGGTTTACTGCATCGTCAGTTAGTAATATTATAAATACACATTTATCCAGAGAGTTATCAGCAATTTTCTGAACTTCAATAAACATTTCAAGCATTGGTATCAACATTCCGCTTAACAGCCTTCAAAATATGGCTCCTTAACTGGGAAAAGTAGAATGTAACTTCTCTTGCAATGTACTTCACTATTTAGTGCGTCATCACTTTCAAAAAGTTTTCCAACGATTTTCAACAAAATGCTGAGTTAAATTACTCTACATAAAAAACCTTCTTTAAGGTGATTGAAATGCAAATAATTACCATTTCGTATGTTTAAATATGAATCAAGTATTTTATTATTTCGCTAAAATACTAAAACTTATACTGAGAGCCTAAACTCGTTCGTCTGTATATAGTCTAAGTTGTGGCCTAATAGTTTAGACAATCAAATTTGAACCATAGAGTTACGTAGCAAAATTTGGCTCTTTATACCCTATGTTGGCGGTTGCATAACCACTGTTCCTCAAGATACTGCAGAACATAAAATTGCTTACGCTTAAAAAACTACCTAAGTTAATAAACTTCAATGATTTCTGCTCAGTGATTGAAACACAAAAGCCTCAGTCATATGATCATAAGTTATTATTCACCCTAACCTCATCTGCTTCATGCTGTTAGATAAGACCCATAGGCTTATATAAAGTGCGATAATTCAAAGCTGGATTAGAAAATCTTTATGCAATTAATGAGTATTACTTCAGATTTTGTTAAATACCAAAACCAAAGTATATTCGTACATGACAATTGAAAATAACTAGTATGTTTCTAACCTGCTTGAGCTTCTTCAAACTTATCATTTTCTGCTAACCAATGAGCATATGGTACATAGACCTTCTCCATGTAATCACGATGCTTTTCAGCTAAACTGAAGGCCTAGATGATGAGAAGAAATTTTGGAAAAACATTAGACTCCATACGATGAGAATTTAGTTAACAAACAATACTCTATGATGTATCAAAGGACGAGTATACTGCGCTGCAGTTCGTTCTGTTCTGTTACTGAGCTGTGAGACATGGCCGTTAAAAGTGAAAGGCATGAAGCAGTTGAAGCGTCTTGATCATAGATGTCTTCGCAGTATTGTTCGCGTTTGGTGGAATCAACGCGTGATCAATGTTGAGGTAAGGAGAAGTGTACTAGGGAAGACGGACAAGTAGATTGATGAGGTTATCAAACGTAGTCAAATGAGTTGGCTTTGGTAAATACTGCCCATGCAGTATCTCGATATGCAACGCTGGGAGAAGTTGAATTAGTTTAGAAGTGGGCTAAGGGTGACCAGACCAGGCCGCAGCACTAGTCGATGAAGTCATAAAAATGAAATGTCGAAAGTAGCGTGATTACACTGATATGATTATGAGCAATAATTTACGCTCGAAACGTCATCGAGTAAATAATAATAGATAGCTGTGTGTTATAAATCAAATAAACAAATCTGATATGGAATTAAGTTCTACAACAGTGTCCACATTTTACACCTATATTGATGAAGTCCCTGACTGTTGGTCTGAGTCGTGTAGGGAGATGTTGACTGCTTAGTTGGGTTTCCTGAGACGGAATGAATCAGTGGTTGAGGACTCTTGTTGATAAGACTGAAAATCAGACACAGTGGCGAAGATGCATTCACTGCTTGACGTCCTGTAAAGTTTGAATATGTGCACTAAAAGTTATCTTCAAATTTTTTATTCTGTCATACAACATTGTCTACTTTGATACCAGTCCTTTTTAATCCACCTGTACTTTGTGTACCACCGTGAAGTGTGTCAACTTGAGCCGATGCACTAACGTTCAAGGTTCTAAGTTGATGTCGTCTGTTATATTCCAATTAATGAATATTTGAACTGTATTCAAACGAATAACCTAGTATAATATACCTCAGTTATCATAAGAGACACAAATTTGGCTATATCATTCGCATTATAGACATGGTTTAATTGTTACGACTGAAACTCACAGCTTACAAGGTATTATGCTCGGAAATCGTACTTTGATCGTCAACATATTTCTGCATATTATCAAAACATTTTCATTTGTTACATAGCAGGTTTGTTTACAATATAAGGAGAATAACTGAATTCTGTGAGAGATGAGGGGTTTCTTTCTCCCATCCAGAAGCGGAAAGTTTTGTTCTAACTGACCACTGACCTCTAAGAGTTAAACAAATTTCTCAAGTTGTACAGCAACTTATCATCAGAAGAAACAAAATTGTCATATGCCGAATTTCTTCCTCATATAGTTTTATGCAAATCCACCACAACATTTCAAAAAAGGGTAGGCCCATCGCCCATTGCCCATTATTATTCAAAAGTTATTTTGCCGCAATTTTTTTATTATATTTGGTTATCGTGTTGTCTAATATAATAAGAAGTGCTAATGTTCTGTTTTTGGATTAAAAAGTTGTGTAATATCGATGACTATAAAAACATCATATTTTCTAAAGGGTACTAGGCTTCAGTTACCAAACTAAAATGTTCTTACAGTCGCAGTGTACATGAAAATAGTCACTCTGTTATGATAAAAGAGTGCCACTTGATTAGAGACACGAAATTAATCTCTACCTACATATCTCCGTAATAAAACCACTCGGTTTTGGGATTCTAAGTGGTATTGCTTTTCCCAAGGGCAGAAATATTCAATTCTGATGCACACCAGGAGTTACATGATCTAGGTTTAGGGTTTTCTGTCAATATACCTCCAATACTCAACATAAAAACACATCACTCTCGTCTCTAAACATTTACATCAAGTTACATGCTTCCAAAAGCAAGTGAACTGCCAATAGTCGCTAGAGGTTTAACGTTTCACTGTTGACTAATGACTCCTTTGGTTGATTAGTTTGAACAAGCAATAATCACACATCTATATTATGAAATGAAGAGTGATTGACTATAAAACAGGATAGACAACATATGATATTAAGTTAACAGAACTTACTTCTTCCCAACTATGTGATTCAATATACAAGTTCAACTGATTTTCAATGTTTCCATACTTGGCATAACAATCAGCAGCAAAAGCATATTCACCAAGGCGAGCTAAACTACGTGCACAACGCTCTAAATATTCATGATCACCTTTATCTAAACGTCGGCTGATATCCAACAAGCTGATTTAGAAAGAATTTTAAAATTTTTTGTTGTAAATGTCTTTATATTTTTTGATGTAAACAAATATGAAAATAAATCCTCAGTGATAAAGGCCTGACAAACAAGTGAACCAGTAATTCCTAACTCTACAAGAAAGTTAATAACCGTACCCAATGAAACCACATATCACAGTCACTAAACAACAAATAAGCAGACGTTTCTGCACCATTTTATGTGCAAAAACGATTTCAGGTGTACAAATTCAAATAGCACAAATAAAAAGACGATGAGGAGCTTAAACCACTTTTAACATAATCGAAACAGCAGGAAGCACTACACCTGTGTTTTATGTATCTTGTCATTCCTAAGTTAGCTGTATCGGAAAGCATGATGAATCTGGTATTCACTCGCTAATCTGAATTTGCAACACATTGCAAACTTGATTGATAGACTTCGATCAGTGTTGGAGAACTCTGCTTACACAGTTACGTCGATTATAAACTGATGACTGATTTGTATGCATACCTTAGTCTTACAGGAGGTTAGCTGTCATCAGAACAGCCTCGTGACAAGGTCTTTGACTTCAACATTAGGGAACATACGTCTCCTTATCGTTCCACATATACCTTGCTGGTGACAGACAAAAGCCACGAGACCTGGGTCCAGGGTATCTAGCGGATTAACTAATAGTATTTAATAACAAAATACAGTGCACTACAGTGTCATATCACTCAGTTTAATGGCCACATTCGAAACCTGCATCGATAAACTTTTGTCAGTGTTGAGTACTAAGGACTAGACACCTAAATCCCTTACCCACTGGTCAAATTTTCATGCTGTCTATCAAACAACTACAACATTCAATCACAAAATCTGAGGTAAAACAAACGAATCTAACAACTGAATTCATTTTTCAATTGTTTTAAGAAGAATGATGAAGATAAATCATTAAAAAATTTGGAGCATAATACTGATGAAAAACTATTATCGGTCTCATTCATAACTGTTTCATGTGTTAATCAGTTTTCGACTCGATTCCAAGATTAATTTAGTTGAAAGACTGATGTTCATGTGAGAGTATAATGGCCGGAATCATAATGGTATATTTATATATAACAGAAGATTTGTTAAAAAGGTTTTGAACAAGTCGGTGTGTCGCCAACTGGTAGAAGTAGTAAAGCGTGGACCGTTGAACTCCAGTTCAGTAGCTAAATGGCCACGTGATAATCACAATACCGGATGATTTTCGGCTTTATCTCTTATGAGTTCTGGGTCCCATAATGAAACGAATCAGATTTCCTATCTTCTCAAGTTTCTAATGATTCCCCAACTAATGTATTTCCATGATGAATACTACCTTAATATATTTTATATGAGGCTGCCTTTTACTGACTCCTAAATGAGCTTTATTCAATAATTATACGGTGCAATCATCAGCTTAACGCAATATACAATGTTTTAAGATTTTGTTGCATCAACAGTTAAGGTATGATTAAAACGATGAAGCCTTCCCAGTATTCTGCATCACATCAGCTGCTAAAAACACCAAAATGTTATTCAAGTTTATATAGTTGCATTATAAAACTATCCATATTGTGGTAACCAATTTGTTCATAAGTAGCTAGTTATTTCATTTTTATATTAGATAACTAAGGCATTAAGTATTATTCAGTCATGAGTCTTTCTAAAAGTCCATTCCAATCTGTATACAGATACCCAGTCTTTTAACTAAACATTAAGATAAAACTTTATGTCCTACCAACAGTTTTAGACGTCGAACTGCTTCAAACTACGCTTTCAGTTTTTGTGTTACTCAATAGAGATAGCAAACTATTATAAGCATTCTGTCTGGAGGTTTGTGGAGATTTACTAATTGATTTTAGGTTAGAGTTCATCACAGACTGACATCAGTTGGTGGAACACTGGAGACCTGGGGGTATTGGACAGTTGTTTCGTCCCAGTATGTGACTCCCCAACAGTGCGCGCCCGTGACCCCGCTGGATATCAAACTCAGAACCTTCAAATTCCGTGGCTTGCACGTTACCATTGAGTTGCTGGGTTGGGATCCAGTGGTCCACGTTTACTACTTCTGTCAATTCACCACATATCATGACCTACATCCAATGTCGTCGTTGAGTAACTGTTCCAGTGTTCGACTTGGTTGACTCTTCTGTTCACAATTTCACATTGGAACTTCGGGAATCACCTCTCGGAGCTAGTCATCAATGAGGAAATACGGACTACTGCGTCCCAACCCAGTGGCCTAGTGGTAACATGCTGGCCACGGAACCCGTGGGTCCTGTATTTGATCTCTGGCAGGTTCATGGGTGTTTACTGCTGAGGGTCCCATACTAAGACGGAACAGCTGTCCAGTGTTCCCATTTTCCCGATTTTTGATCATAGAAAACATAGTTCACCATTGATTACAATTACACAGATGTATTCACCCTTAATCTTCCTTGAAATCTTCAACATTTTATCAATTTTATTCTCTTGTTTCGATCTTTGCTTAAATGCCTATTCCTAAACGCCGCATAACTTTTCTCAGCATTACGCTACCATGTAATAGTGAAGTGTAATAAATTTTCCTGACACTCCCTCATGTAGAATTCATCACTGACTAGACCACTAAACATATAAAGTCACTTTAAAATGTGATGATCAAGAAGGAACTCTAAATCACAAAATATGCATTCAGGTCAGAACAAGTTGAGCAGGATAATGAGTGAGAAGTTGTGAGTAAGTATATATGACAGAGGATTTTTGTTTCTTTTCATTTTCAATTCCAAAGACTCATCTAGTTACTCTTCATTCGTGAACGGGCGAGTTGTTTGAAAATAATGATATTACCTGAGCTCATAAGTTGCTTATACTGAATACTGACCAGCATTAGAATTCAAGGCATCAGTCCCATTTTTCTCACCATTCATTAGATTTCATTACAAGCAGTATCACTGAACTTATAGTAAAGGCTACAAGGCAAAAGATCATGATCAGCTTAGTTCTGCACATCAGTAACGAGAAGGACTAATATTCCTACTAATAGAATGATACTTATGGAATTCAGATACTCCGATAATTCGGAGCAAAAAAAAGCTGATGACCACCTTCGATGTCTTTCTCGAATTTGCAAAGTTGAATAGCATATTAGGCCTATTTTTACGTTCAGTTTACTCAGGTTTCATATAATCCAGATGTGGTTATTATTGTCATGAGTTTGATACCTGATGGGGTCATAGGTATGCACTTCAGAGGAATCCCATACCAGGACGCAACGGCTGTCTAGTTCTCCCATGTTTTCAATGGTTCTCCAACTAATATCAGTCTGTGATGAAAATCGACTTAAACTCGACGATGCATTGAATAGTGAAGTCAACATCAAAACTCTTTACAATGTTATGAAGAAAACTTACATATCAGTCCATCCATGTTGATCAGATATTTCAATAGCTTTCATAAACTCTCCTGCATCGATATACATTTTCGCTGCTGATCGGTGTTCATTTGTAGATTTAGCCCAATCTGCATGTTTAGCCAACAACTGTTTACATTCACTAGTATCATCACCCCTTGCAGTCATAGCTTCCCGTGCCTCTTCAAAGCGACGTAAATCAGTATACATTTCAATTATTTTCTGCTGACCACCTGAATTGGAACCAGCTCGATTGTAATAAACACCTGCTTCATTGAAATATCCCAAGTAAGCTGAAATATCACCTAAAGCGACTAATGCATTGGAGTTGATAGTCAAATCTTTTTCAGTCCATTCTCCACGTTTATATCTTTCCTAAATAATCCACAAACACTTTTGATGTTTATTTGAATTAAGCATGTAAATATGAAAGTATGCAGATTAAAAAAAGAGAATAGTTACTAACCAGAGCAACCTATTTTTTGTATAATTCTACAAAAGATTTATATCACTACATTTTTCTTCAGTTAGATACAGTTCAGAATATAATTCCTTCAAACCATAAAATCTAACTCCAGATTGTTGTTTCACAATCACTCATATATTTTCAAACTAGTTCTAGAACAATTACTTGATATATGACAACATTCAACTTGTAGTTCATTGGTTTAACCAGTCAATTGTTCAATATTGTGTTATAGATTCGAACTTTGACCCACCTTCTGTAGTCTAGGCGCGTAAGTCAGAAGTGTTGCTTATTTCCTAGTATCAGCATATGGAAACACTTAAAGAGTTGAATACTAGATTATTGACGGCAAGTACTCGCTTTTAAGCTGCAATACTTTATACTGATTATATAAAATTAACTTTCAAAGAAATCTTGACTACATTATCTTTACAACTGGAAAACAGAGTACTTTACTGATCTAATGAAGCACTATAAAACGTTTTGTAATGGTTGTTCACGAAACCAACAGAAGTGTGAGAGTGTGAATCATTGGATTTAAACCCAGTGTTTCAATGGCGACATGCTAGCCACGCGACTTGGGGCTCGTGGGTCTCCATTGTTGAATAGTTCCATACTGCGACAAAAGAGCTGCCTAACGCAGTCAGGTTTTCAATAGTTCTACAAATGATGTTAGTCCGTGATGAATGCCAACATAGAATATACGTCAATTTATCAAGAAGTATTTCACATACTTGACATTTAACATTTCTCTAAACGAATAAACTCAACCTTAGTGTCTGAATAAGATTAAAAAGAACGAATCAACAAGCAGTAAACGAGTAATAAAAATAATCTACACGCATAAAAAGTAATTACCTCCAGTTGTTGAATAAACGTAAGCATAAGTACATCTCCTAAATGCATGTAGGCATACTTTGCCACCTACAAAATATGAAAATCCAGCAATAATACCATAGATTGCAAGTCGTAAAATAGTGGAATTTAAGTCAGCTCAATACTCTAAATAAACATGATTGTCGTAGAATACTTTCAGAATAACTTGCTACAAGTTAAACTAGTTAAAATGCAATAGAATATACTATTTAGTCATTTAAGGAAACTGTTCAAAATACGGAGAATATAAGACAATCCACAGGTGAACGACACGAGAAACTATAAACCAACTATGTCTACTAATAGGGATCACCAAACAAACAGAATACCAAAAGACCATTTTGCACAGCTGAAGTCAAAAAAGTCAAATGTGTGCTTGAATAGTCTTCAAGCAGTCAGAAAAAGTTATTGAGTTAACAAATATCTGACCAGCTACCTAACTAGATTGGTGGTTTACACAAGCTCAATGCAAGTTTGAAACAATCTGACTGTGTGAAGCTAATTTACTCATGGATGTACCTAAATTACCTTTATTTTCCCACTCATCACTATGGCTGACATGACTTATTCATAAGTGTTTATTGCCCTTAGTGGTAAGTCTCATTGGATCTTTTTGTTCACATCATTGGTGCTAAGGTCGTTACGCATTGACCTTGGAATATTTACATCAATGAAACAAAACCACAGTGTAATTGATAATTTTGATCTTTTTTCGCCCCTATGTATTACTGAATTTTTGAAGCGATTTAATCTGATGAACTTATGTGTGTAGATTTATGCTGTTCTATCTGCCTATTACCACCATATCCATGCTTTACCTATGTCACATACCTTTTGAAGGATACAAGATGGATTTGGTGCATACAACCGTACTTTTCTTGAATTATTATCACTACTATTATTATTTCCAGGCTAAGGTGGTAATTATGTGTGTAGTACCTGTGAAGTTGTAGTTAGTTCAAGTAACAGATTTTGAATTTGCATCCTATGTCACAAACTTTGACCTGAGCTACCAGATAGTATCATAGGCTCTCGCATATTAGTACATAAAAATGTACTCAGTAGATAATTTACAAAATGATTATTTGGTTAAATTTCAGGCTACCAAAAGCTTTTTGCCGAATATATTACATGGAATTGCTCCTTTCAAACACGCTTGAATGGTTCAAATATCAACAAGTAACAGTAACTTCTGTCCCACATTTTAAAATATCGTCAACCTGTCATTTGCAAGGTAATAACAAAATTACAAGAAAGCACATAGGTAGACGAAGATGAGCACCTGAGCACACAGCAGTACACCAGATGACTATAAAGGGAATAGTCAGCTGAAACTGAAGGTTTTCACACCATCTGAATGAACTTCAACAACCAAACTTACAGATGTTTTTCCATTCATCCAGTCAAGAAACAACGTACCCGAAAACCAGACTATAACCTAACATCAACTGGTCGTTATATGTTATTGCTTCTTTTACTGTTATTATTAACACTGTTTAGACGAGACAAAATGAATCAGTGGTGAGCAGAAAATCGATCATAATGGTGCAGACGCATTCACTCCTTGACATCATCTAGAGGTTGAATATTCGCACTAACCGTTATCTTCAAATTGTTTATTTTGTCACAAAACTTAATCGACTTTGATATCACTCCTTTTCAATCTGCATGTTCTTTGTGTACCCCAGTGAAGTGTATCAACTTGAGCCGATGAACTCCTATGCGAGGTTCTAGGTCGATTTTATCAGTCAGTCAGAGATTAGATCTATAGGAATTCAATAAAGCTGAATCACAGGTCAACAAACAAGACCAACGCATGAGGAACTGAACGTGAAAAGTACAAAAGTCAAATGAACTTCCGGTATATTTCAGCCTTTAAGTATTTTATTTTGTGCAAACGATAAAAGAATGCAAGTAACCTACCTTTAAGTTAAGTTTGTTTAAAGCAATTCGTCCCATAACTTTCCAATCTGGATCTGTTAATCCATAACAAGCCAGTTGATAGGCTTCATTTATCTGACCAGCTCCCAAATAATGATATACAGCAGGGCTTAATGAGATCTCTACACGATTGATAATACTTTCATGTAAACAATAAACAACAGAACCGGTGAAACTCAACGCTATTCCCTATTAAATGAATAGAAAATGTGGTAATATGAGAAAAAACAGATTAATCAATGAGGCAAACCAAGTTGGATGCGATCACAGGTACTCAGGTACAACGCTGGATGAAGGTCACGGTATATCACAAAATGATAGAAGTAGGAAAGTGGGGGCCATTGGATTCTGACCCGGTGGTTCAGTACCAACATGCTCACTGCGGAAACCGAAGGTCCTGCGTTCAACCCCTGACGGGTTCACGAGTGCGCACTCATGGGGAGTTTCATGCTGTGGCGAAACGCATGTCTAGTGCTCCCAGGTTTCCTATAGTATAGCACTGTGTAGCAAACACGTTTTGCAAATTAAACTCAATCTATTTGGAACAAAAATTTATTCAGGAGGATAAAACAAACTTAACTGATGTCAATAATAGTATAACAGTGGTTCTAAAGTTAAAGATTTATAGTGATTGAGCTACCTGATTGACAGTTAATGTGAATAAGAAAGGAGCAAAAGAGACAACACTGATTCTATCCTAAGCAATAAATTTTGTTTAAGTACACCAAGTTATCAAATTCAAAATTGGAAAACGTTTCTCTACATAACCTGCTGAAAAATTTTCTCTTGAATCAAATTAAGGTTCACTTTCAGGTAACTACCCCTGATACCCGTGATGTAAATTTTAAAGAATGATACATTTGATTACAATAGTAAGAATAATTTGTTGATATGAACGATTTGTAGGGGAACTGATCAGTTGGAAGATTATTCTCCGTATGTCTTAACACTAGCTGAGGAATATGTAAATACTCTGGAAGCAGTATATAACCGTATCACCCTAGTTTAGGACAACCCAACAACTGACCTTCAGGATTCGATATGCAATGAAGCTTAGAATTTTCAGATTTCATGCATTATCTGAAGTCTCACTCCAATTTTTGACTCAGCACCTAGTTTTCAGATCTATGGATATTCTAACACAAACCTGATGAATCGGTCCATTTGCCAAGCAGGAAGCATCCAAGCAACGTATCAGCAGAAAAACGAACACTCTTGACACAGACTTTCGCTAGCTCACCTTTCTCAAAGTGATCAGTGTTATACAATAACCCTTGCAACTGTCAGGCTTCAATCTACTCACATTCGCTGAGTAATTGATTGGCTGACAGACAGAGACAGACAAAAGCAACATAGAACCTTGCACACAGGTACATCGGCTCAAGTTGCCACATTTCATAGTTAGTAGACTTGCATGGGACGTATCTCACTAAACTCTCCACAATCATCCAGACCTAGGTGTAGCTCACCCTCATGAAAGGACATTCCTCTAGAAGGCCTGGCCCATTAACCCATAACGCCAGCAGATTCATAGTGGTGTATCCCTTCGGACTAATGAAATATACCCAAGTCTAGGGCTAACAACACCAGCATTCCAGACAGAATATAGCTCTCCTTCGCAAGATAAGACTACACCCATATCTAGGGATTGCCCTAACACCAATGACAACAGAAATTAAGAAGCTGAATTCACCTAACATCCATGCTTTGGGGACTCGCAACACTAATCTTGCGCATATAAATCACTCCAACCACCAGTTTCACTAAATCAACTTGATGGTAATTCCGGCCTAAAATATATATCCGGTTTTCATGAGCCAGAAACACAGACCCAGTACCAATTAACCACACCGCGTATATCTTCTACATGCTGACGCTCTAGCACGTAACTATGGAGCGGATTTATGCTGCCAAGAATCATAGTTACTCACACCGAGCTGAAAACTTTCGGGCCTCATACATTACTGTTCAGTCTTTCTATTTCACTTACTCTCTTTACACTTCCAAAACTAACAGGTCCGCAGTATAAGAATGTGTTTCATGATGGAATGAGATGACGACTACGATATGCCAAGAACTTTTCGTCTCATTCACGTACCATATTTTGGACTGCGGATTGCATTAGAGATTTGAAACTGTCGGTAGCATAACTAAAAATCGATCACAATGGTGTACAATCCTTATCATCTTCGAAGTTTGGAAAACACTTCACTAGCCTGTATTGAGTTATTCTTTCTGCTTACATGGATTTTGTATTCATTGATATCATTCTATTTTCATTCCCTCATTCTACCTATGCTGAGGTGGCAACTTGAAATGATACACTTCTCCAAAGTTTTCTACTTTGATTAGTTCATCTGGTTAAAAATGCGGGTTACAAAGTTTCGACTTAGTAGCTGACTAACAACATGTTCGCAGTCAAAGCTAAGAGTTTTTATCCTCATTTGGTTATGGATCATAAGTGGACATTGATGAGACATCTCCAAATGGAACAAAAATTACTAACCACTACTTTCCAACTTCTTATTAGTTCCCTGAAAACTAACATGTGAAAAGCAATTTTGAAGTGAAACCATAAATTACCTTAGTGTATTGACAATGACTTGGGAATTGTCCATTTTTGATAAATAATAAATCTTCTCCACTGTAAGCCAGTAAATCATTATCAGTTGTACTCCAGGCAATACTAAGAACGTTAGGTTCCTAGATCAGAGTGAAAACAGTAAAAAACTGATTGCATCCATCAAAAGTGTATTCACATAACCAAACTTTCTTCGTAAATAGCAAAAACAAAATCAACATTCAACGAATGAAACCACTGTGAGTAAAGCTATTTGTTTAAATTAATTGTATAAATAGACAGACGCCTTATTTCAAAATGTACCAGACATTTATTTACCTGCACATCAGTGAGATTCGAACCCCTTACTCATACATTCAAACGCCAAGGTGTTATCCACTGGGCCACGGAAGGACGGTAGCCACCTGTTGTACCCATTGTCAAAGAGGTGAGTGTCGTGCCTCCGTGGCTTAGTGGGTAACTCCTTGGTGTTTGAAGCATAGGTACGAGGTCCGAATGTCATTGAAAACTCCATTGCAGGTACGTCCAGCTGGTGGGTCCTAAGTAGGGCTAAACGCGCGTCCTGCATTCCTTTGCTAGCCACAACTAAGTATGTTATCGTTCTTGTTATAGATTATAGCGTTCTGTGTGCAAGTGCTCATATTTTTTGTGTTCTGTATGCATATTTTACCTATTTGTATAGTTTTTAAAAGGCCGTCTGTCATTGAATCGTGCTTTATACTGTTTATTTATTTGCAAAGTATAAGCTGAACTTCCACTTTTCAAGTGGAAGGTAAATACATACAATTACTTATGAAGAATAATACTCTGAAATCAAAGTGAGTTAACTGAGGCTTTAAATCGCAACAAAAATGATTTAAGATTGCAGTTTTCACTTCGAAATATCTGCATAGAGAACACAGAAAATATGAACCTTCAAACAGAACGCTTTAACACCTGAGGATGCCTTTGGCATCAGTTCAACGTCCAAACTAATTCTGCTGACATGTTTTGACTAAAACTGGATGAAACGAACAATTCCCAAATGACGAGTTGCCTTACTTTCATGAACTATAGTGTTCCATCTACCAAGAAGTGTGTAATAAAAATAAAACCAGGTAACCATTTCATCAACCTTTTGTTAAAAACCCGAAAGAAAATTTAAACTTTCTCGAAATGAACACTAGAAACTGATATTATGCTTCAACTTAAGAACCCCATAATACCATAACTCTCCACCTTGCTAACAATACATCAATCTAAACACACAAATCTGACAGACGTCGTTCACGTGTATACAGCAACATGTTTCTACTTCAGTGGAAAATTTGAATAGAGAGAAAAAACGAGCACTAATGAAGTGAACAATGTCCAAAATATTTACGAAGAGAAAGGTATTTAAAGGTGTCTAGGCTGATATCGAAAGCTTTATCCAGCAATCCTAAAGGTTGGATGGCAACAGAACTACAAATATCATTCAAACAAAGGAAAACATTTCGAAAGATCAACTTTGTTGGAAAGTGAATTACATAACTAAACGGCTGTATTCAAGAGGATGGTGGTTTCTTACAGTTTTATCAAAAGGCGTTCATCATATTCACTACCAACCAAAAAAGCTGATTTTAGAGAGTATCAGATCAATTATTCTATCTTTTTAAAAAAAAGTCTTAAAGATTGCGAAAGATTTGTTGGATCCCCTTGGTATAACCGTTTAACAGGGGTCTACACACTAGGCAAAACAAATGAAGCAATCGAAGATACAGATTATTCAAATGCAATATACAATATATACTTCATCAATTGCAATGAAAAACGCATTGAACAAGTTAGAAGCATTATTTGTCTTCGTTTATGTAACTATCAACCAGTGTTTGAGTGATACAACATCTTTCCGCTTACGTCAATGGATGCAGGTAACTGCATGCATACGGCAACCATAGAAACAGGATATTTTAGAAGTTCATCACCTAGACCAGTCAACAGGTATAATGAATGATACTAAGTCTATCTCCTTGTGAGAAGGATAAAAACGCAAATGCAGGAATACAGCCTTAAAAATAGTCGAAATATATTCAAGTGAAGGTAGTGACAACACAATTACATAAACTTGCGGCCATCAGGGTTAGCTTTCAGCCTATCTACTGAGAAATTCTCAGAACTCATCTCTTCACATCTACGCTAAAAGATATTATCTGGGGTTATATATACTAAACAACAATTCCTTGAGAAATTAAAACGTGGTATTTGTAGGCCTTTAAGTACACAGCTCAGAATTATTCTCAACAAAACAATCCCACTCTACTGCTTCAGTTGTTTACGCGCCAAGCTCAATATGACCATCATTTTAACAATCTCGTCTTGGCTATTTTGTTTTTATTTTATTTTTGGTCACATAATGTTATGATAACTGATAAACCCAGCTACCTAATTTTTATAACACAAATACGTAATCCAAGTTGGAAAGAAATGATGCAATGGTATGTTATAGAGAAAAAGGAAATAGACAGAATGCTGACCACTACAAACCAACCTAATCATAGACTCACCTGAAATAAAATGTCTTTAGTTTCTATTGAAAACACACTCATAGTTCCATTATCGTCAAGTGCAGCCAATTTATCACGATTTCTGCTTATATCTATAGCAGATATTCCAGTCATCACTTTAGCTAAGATGATAGGAAATGGATTGTCCAAGACAATTTGAATCACCTACCAATCAAGTAAAATTAGTTAACTTTATTTTTTATCTTTGACTCGTCGTTATTTTATGAATCAATATACAGCAGCACCCTCTTTTTCCACTACATCTGAAAGACACCTTAAACTAACAATCTTTAGTCTATCTGTCAATAGAAATTATCTCTTGTACTGACTCATTAGCATTTTGGTCTTCAGTGGATATTATTGTTACAGTCAGTCATGAATACACATTTTTATTCTGTATCGTCTCTCTTGTGCATACATATTAATACCATCTCATTTCTGGTTATAACAAGTAAGCCATTCAGTTTAGAGACTTTCATCACTTGTATATATTAAATGCAATCTAATAGGCGATTGAAACTCGCTGACAGCATATCACTCTAACCTATCAATCAACCAATACTTGACTTAAACAGTTAGATTTCTAAAATTGACACATTTAGAATAACCTTGCACTGGTACATAACGGGAACACAACTTAGAACAGATACACTATTTGTAAATTTCTACACGATAAATTAAACAGAACTCAAAACTTACTGTAATCTATTGACTAATACAATTGCTCAGTACCGATAGGCAATTTAAAGAAGAACAAAGTACAATATCTTTCATTCCCTTATCATTGAAACCAATGACTAGGAACCTGGTGGATATAGATGAGGAGTCCAGTTGGTCATTTCATCTTTTGATGGCATCTCTTCTCTATTCCTGTTACAAAGGTCTCTTGAAAGTTTTAAGAGATCTAGTTAGTCCACCAGTTTCAGTCATGTCTGGTAATTGAAATTATTCGATGCGAAAACCTTCACTTTTTAGTTGGAATAAAACGTTATCTAAATAAACAAGAAGCATTCTCATATCACACAGGAAGTATTTGCTGCACTTGTGACTCGGACTGTTGCGATGGACAGTTTGAACAATTATCTGATTATTATTTGAGATGAGAATACGAATCTCAAAAACCTACTTCAAAAGTTCATTAGTGCTCATCTCTTTATGAAACCCACTTCAGAAGAAGAATTGAACTCGGAATTCTACTTCTTTGACTTTCAGTTTCAAAGATGACAGTTCACTTCAGAGATCTATTTACAGAAATCTCAATTGGAGCGGGCAGTTTATTAATTTTCACAGTTATATGCCCTTAATCAGAAACAAGAGTTTTATCAATTCACTTTCCTCAAGAATACGAAGAATATGCACAGAGGATACAATCAATGATGAACTAGAAAACTTGTAAGAAACACTGATGAAAAACAGATACCCAGGGAAATTTATAGATAAGAATTTAAAGCCGAAAAACATTACAGTACGCGTGTGTACTGCTCCGAAAAAGATTTTACCACAGAACTTCGAAATCAAGGGAGACAATGCAGTAGATATACTTAGGAAGAGATGACGAAGGCCCATAAACAGAACATTCTTTGCCGCCAATCTTAGGATCACATTCTCCTATCAGAAACTCATTCGTCAGTACATAAAGGGTAGGCCAGAGCATTGGGCTACATCATTGTATGTATATCAGTTTACGCGCTGCTGTGGAGCCAAGTACATTGTGCGTATCATGGGCCAGCTTATGCAGTGCGTTCGTGAACACTATCCACCCTGGCTGACAAAGCGAGGACGGAAATGCATTTTCAGCTCTGTAACAGACAGGCTCCCTTTGACAAGTCCTTCGAAATTTTGTACAGAGTGCGACCAAACCACTCGAAAGAAGTGAAGCTAAGACACCTATGCATGGCTGAAGCATTAACGACTCAAAAGAATTCAAACCACCATTGTTCGTTTAAAAGAAGCATATACAACCTTTTTCTTTGCCATAGCCACTATGAATTATTGCCCACTGTATATAACCCACACATGATGCAGCCGTTTTTATTTTGTAATCACTTTGTTTATTTTCCCACTATGTAACGTCCCTTTGTTATTCAATTTACATTGATCTTTGACCAGTAATTACCCTGGAATGTCCTATTTTTTTCACCGTATGTTTACAAATGTACAGAGAATGATTTCATCGGAAAGAAAAACTTTTCTTCGCTCCAATCATATGTTTTCCTATGTTTAAATGGGATTGTTTCGATATTTCTGTCTTCGTAAAAGTTAGTTATTTGCATGTTGACTGTAGTGATCCAAACAGTAGAAATGTATAAGCCACCTGCCTACGATCCTAGAGATAATACAAGCCAATAGCTGGAAAGCTTTAGCATTATAGCTAGAAATGTGTCACAATGACATGAGTGTATTTTTACTATCTGATATCTTTTAAACTTTCGACATTTTCACTAACCTCCGTATCTCCAACTTCTTTCTCCACCCATACACTTTTGTCTACCTTGATACCACCTTTTTTCTAAGCTCTTGTTATTCACGCGCTGCAGCGAAGCGTGATAAGCAGAACTCATGCATTTCTACGCGAGGCTAAATGTTGCTTTTTTCCGTCTGCGCACATATTTGCTTCTTTACATCAATCATAAATCCTCACCCATTTATGTTGGTTTCCTTGTTGTGGTGTTAAGTAGTTTGGCAGATTGCAACGTTGCAATTATCTGATAACTATTTCTAATTTTTTTCGGAAAAATAGCTCACAACAGCATATCAAATCCCTCTGATACACAGTAGTTATGGGATACTGAGATACTTATATTAGACAAACATATCAGCGAGTGACTCTAAAAGCTACGCTAACAACTACTTAGATAACCAATTAGAGTTCTGTATTTTATGAAAAACTGCCTATCAAGGTGAAATAAAGAAACTCAATTAGCTATATCAATTATTGCTAGAGTGGTGTCTAAAGTCACCCACATTAGCTGGGAAGACGTTAGCCCCGCTTTACGTAAGCAACTCAGTTATTCATCGTCTCGTAACCATGATATCTGATGGCGTACATCTTATGAATAACTTCAAAATGGACTCAAATGGTTAGGTTATTTAAGATCGAAGCTATGTGTTATGATTCTTATATTGTATAGATTGTGTTGAATTGAAATAAAATCATGAAAATCAAAGATGTCACTGGTTCCATCAAAAAAGCAAAAGGGGTTTGCAATAAGAGTATTATAAAACACACTTTAGTCGATACTAAAGGACAATAAAGCAGCCTATGTATGTTATGTTTTCTATTACTTTAATGAAAATATTACTTCTATCATATATCTGAACAAAAGAAATAGTTATCTGATGTTTATACAGTTATAACCTTGTTAGTAACCGCTTCCAACAAATAATGAAGTTTTAACTTATCCTATCACGACTAGTTTACATAAGTGCAAAAACTTATATGTATATACCAGTGTTCTGTTTCTCTCACTGTCGCATTAAACTATGTGAGTTTAAACCTCTGAGATGGCATTAGGTCGCTCGATGTCTCAATTACGCCCTTTTCAGTGCTGTTGAAAATTGTGGAAATTGGTAGCAATTCATTTCTTGGGCTATTTCATGACTGTTTTGTTCGTGCATATCGCTGAAATCAGATATATACTTTACTTGGTAAACAATTTATGCTGATGGTTTAGAAAGACTATCCTAGGTTTATAAAACGTTTCATGAATTTATTCCCCTTAATGAACTTGAATAATAAAGCAAGAACATCATTTGCAGAAGAAGACTACGTCATCGTATTCCACTGAGTTTTCATCAGCTCCATACAACCAGAATAAGTAAGTAAGTAATCGCTGTGACGAATATTGACACACCCTACATGCAGTGTTTCAAGCTACCAGCTTACTTTTACAGATCAAGCAAAAAGTAAAGAATGCATTTCGGAATACAAAGGAGATAAAGGTAACAAATTTAGCCAAGCCAGATACATACTATATAAGGCAAGATGAAGTATATTTACGAATGAGTGAAATATGACTCAAAATAAGTCGAAGTAGCTGCGTAATCACATGAAAACATTATCGTAAGAAAACAATAAGTGAAATGTACTACTGGACAACTTGAGCAGTTAGAAACCACTCATGCTGTTCCATCAATTTCGTTAGCCAGATGAGAATGATCACAGCAATGGACGGTCGTTTCGCTCGTTAGAATGTCGAGCTCATCAGTTGTCCACCCTGACAAATCCAACTTACAGAGCCGCCTGTTCGGATCTCCTGAGTCTGGATAGCTGACTTGTATGGACCAGTATACCTAAAATAAGATAATAAGTTAGCAAATGACTTACTCATTACATGGTTCACGTTCACATTTCTCACAACTGAGTAGTTCTTTGATTATCCAACTGTTTTGTCAATAAGATTTCTGTCGGAAACTACCCGGGAGCCAAAATTACTACGTGTGATCACTGATACAAAAGTTTCATGAACTAGAAAAAGATACTACCACTGACCAACTCGAGTAGTTATAAACCACCCGTGTTGAGTAGTATTTTTCAACAGGAAACCCTGTTAACGTCCTAGTTTTAAAAAGAACTTCACTGTGAAAAATTTCAACGCTAACCGTGCAATTTGAAAGAATCATTTGCAAATTGTTCACAAATATGTTAATAATGAAACGATAGTCAATACAAATAATATTAGGAAAGAGGATAAAATAAGTTCTGTGGAATGAATATGCCACTAACATTGATCACCTGATTTCAAGAGATTTCTCACTTAAGTTTATCTACAAATTAAAAGTAAATATAACATACTTTCTTTTTATTTCCATCCTAATACGCCATATAGTGATATTCAGTTATACAAATATTTTGCTACGTTATAAAAAACCTATTGTCTTTCTGCAGCCTTCATTAGCCGAAGTAACTTCGATTGTTCTACAGTTGGGATAAGTATTGACATTATGTTTGTCATTTCAATATTTCTTACCAACTGTAAACTACACTTCAGGTGCTCACAAAACAGTTCATGTGCTTTAAAAACAACGCTATTATAGGAAATCTTCTGAACTGAACTGCCTGTAGTTTTTCTTACTCTATAGCAACAATTTTTGTGAGGAAAAATAAAAATTTAAGAACTTGTTTCATGAATCAGAAAAAAAAGAGAGAAGTCAATTACCTGACCATTTTTTAATCCCAATAATAGACCTTCTTTATTCTGTGGACCACCAATAATTCGAATACACTTGACTGGGCTATCCAAAATCCATTCACATTCTTTAATCCCCTAATTGGAAAAGTAGCTCAAATTTGTAAGCATTTAACGAATATCTTGGTGATCATTTTGTGACAGTTTCTTTACAACGGCGTAAAAAATTAATATTCTTGACCTATAATTTGGAATTATTGTAAAATCTTCTGTCCTCCCCTTTGCAACGGAAAAAGTAACCCTTTTCTCTGTTTTCTAGATTCATTTTACAACGTCTCGTTACATTGCCAAACATTCTAAGAAATTCTTAGCAATGATTGGATTAGTTTTCTGCATGAATATTTTCAATTATGATATTTTATTTGAAACTAGATAATATCTTAAATGCAATATATAAAATCTCCTACACCATTTTTTCCAACAGAAAAATTCATGAACTCTTGATAGTTGTTTTCTCTACACTTAACCTATTTAGTTGGGTTTCCATTTTGCAAGACTTGTATCCTTCAACCACATTCATTTAGTCACATTTAATTATATTCAACACTTTATACTACTTGCAATTGACGAATAGTATTATCCACTACTTAGCTATTTCCGTTTCCCGCTTGGTTTGTTTTTCTATAACTTGGCTACTTTATTCTGCTCCAATTATTCTCCCATTCATTTGATACTTCGTACAAGTTCATTTCCAAACATTTGTTTAGATAGTTCAATGTAGCTAACGCAAACTCTTGTCTCTCTTGGTTTCTTTCATTCATCATCAGGGAAAATTTGTACACTGCAGAAAATGCATTTTCTAGAAAACATTAACATCTATTTCACTCTGCATTGCAGTAAAAGCTGGTACCAACCACCAGTGACGGAAATAGTTTCCCCGAGGCCACAGGTGCACTCGGTTAATTAATGACAACAAGCATAAAGTTTAAGTTCAACGGTTTCAGCTAACTGGATAGCTTGGTATTAGTTGCTCTATTAACAGTGGTCGATTTACTTTCCAGAATCTTGTAGAAGATGAAGTCAAACAAGTCACTTGGACTCAGTCTTACTTTCCTGATTGTATTAAAAGTATCAGCATCTCTCTCAGTTTGATTATGAACGGCAGGATATTCGGTTAACTAGCTACAATATATTAAAGTTAAAAGTGATCTAAGTTATTCTATTCAACAGAATTATATGAACAGATAGTCTACACCCGATAGAGACACTGAAATAAATTCCGAACTCCTTATTCTGATCCTTAACCCAACGACTCACAAGTAGGAACGGGACAAAGCAAGAGAAAACTAGAGGTATTAGTTATCACTTCGAGCTGATAATGACAGCAGCAAAAATTCACGCTCATATACAGAATTTTGTTAGATGATCTCGAAGGTTAGTCATTTATAAGGAGACTTTATGTACAAGTTCAAACTTAACAAAGCAGTGTGACCGAAAATATTTAGTTTTCAGGCCAATTTTAAAGAAAAAGTAATGTATTACACCAGTGCTTTCCATCATCGATATTTCTTAAGTGGTTAAGTACGATCATCAGAGAGGCGCAGATAACTCAATAAAAGTTATCTATTGCAATTCTGAATAAGGTGGGTATGTACTTTCGGCGCACAGTGAACATTGATATGCCATTGTAATGAGTGCTAACCACACAACCGATTTGCCTCCAGTCGAACAGCATCAAAATCGAACCTAACGCTTATGCGTTACAGTTCTTTTTTCAACGCCTTATATCGATACACCAAAAGTAGGAAGCAAAACAGTCAATTATAGATAAATATGAAAGTAATCAGCTGTTGTAAAAAGAGGACAAGCAGGAATAAAAGGGATACATTTGCGCGAATGAGACTAACTCTGAATTATATCCCTCACTGTCTTCAATCCCCGATTTTGGTTGTCATATAGACCCTAAACAGGAAGTCTAAATTTCCATACATGGTTCAGATCAACAGTCGGAGACTTCATGGGCCAATGCCATACTTTCAATCTGGCCACCCTTTACCACTTTCCAGTCTGCCTGCCTCAGCTAGCGTTGTACGGCGGAAAAGATGGAGACTAAGTATGCGTTAACATATCCCAGCCATTTAGTTCGCTATAGGTTCGAAATCTCATCAACCGACTTTTCTCTTCTGCACGAAAACTTACACCTGACTTCCACGCTACTCACGTGGTCGCAACACGACATGGCCTATGCTACGAAGCTGACGTTGATCTAACACTTGAAGCCTTCTCATATCCTCCATCTTTAATGGCAAGGTTTCACATCCACATAATGGAACGAATAGAACTGCACCACAGCTGCTAGACAATCAGGTACCACGACAGCACTATAAGTGGTGTAATTTGGAGAAAGCCAATCGAGTCTTTTGTATTCATATCCAGGTTTCATAGG